CCTAGGTCAATTCACCACAATGTAAAGTGGTAGCTGTAAATATGTATATAGTTGTATCCAACTTATCTCATTTTATTCAAGTATTTAATCAAGCATTTAATCCTAGTATTTATCCAAGTATTTAACCAAGATTTTCTTCGTGTTTGTGAATTTGTGTTTGTGTTTACTACTAAGAATATGGACTTAGTGCCTGTACAGGCAAAGACTTTTAGTGTTATTTGTACAGAGTGTAAATAATTGAATTACCACTGTGGATCCAAACGTATTGGCTAGTACCGGTCACGTGATACTCATACCCTGATTTCTCAAGAATTAGATATTCTCTCGAATCTCTCACTAAACAGTTTTATGCTCTTCAGTCAGGACTCAGGTGATTTTCATGACTTAAAAATTGAAATTTTTGCTACTATGTTAGTGTACGCCACCTTGACTTTGCTACCTTAAAGCTCTGATTGCCTGATCTCTCAGACTCTTATTTTCGCCTTCGGGTGAGTGGCGTGATAGCGCCCTAAATTTTTCTACAACCGTGAATGGCCGTATGGCAAGTTAGAATGATCAGGTTTAAACTCTAAGAAGTTGATGCCTGTAGTGAAAGTAAAGCATAAGCATAAGAGAGGGGACTTCTTTCCTGCTAGAGCTATGGGCATGTTGGTCCGTTAGAACTACTTCTCCTCGTGTATAATGCGATAGAGTATTTTTGCTGTTAAACAAAATTCTGAAATTAGGGGACTAAATATATAGAAGTCCTTACTGTCAAGATATGCAATTATTAATGTTGAGTTTGAAGTTCATTTCAACTCTCGATTGCAACCCGGGGTTTGTGTAGTGGTTTCGGCTACTACACTGCAAATGCATTTAGTACTAATATACTTTCTGTTTATGTTTTATAATTTGTATACTCTTACGTAGAAAAATTTTGATATAAATAATTTAAACTTGTAAGATATCTAATTCTTTTGGTACTGGACGAAATTAAAAACCCAAAATTTAGAACAGCCGTATCGGACGATTAAACTCAAACCATTAAATTAATCTTTTATAGCAAAGTAAAATAAGATGTTATATTTTCCAATGCTTTGGTATTAAAATCTATAATAAATACTTTCTCGATAGTGAAAATTCGTTTCAACTCAAAATCTGGAATAGCTGTCTCTATACCTTGTGAAAATGTCTACTATGCCATTCTTTGAAAACGGTAAGCATATAAAATATTAATATTCCCTGTTTAAGAAAAGAGTAAGAGCAATGGTGAAAAGGATACATGGTGGAAAAGAAGGTATACTCTATGCCAAGTCTTAAATCATATTAATTAAATTTCATAATACAAATACCTCAAAATACTAGACAAGAAGAATTACCACATGCTAGATCTGTGGTTTTCAACCTTCTTTTCCACCATGTATCCTTTACACCATTGCTAAACGAACATTCCCCTCATAACAAAACTCGAAAAATGCATATGCATTTATTTAAATTTACATTATTTTCTAAATAGATTTCATAAACTAAAACAAGAAAAGTCTAGAAAATGTTAATAAATACCAAAACTTGAGAATAAAAGTAGTTCATATTCATGAAATAAAATTAAATGCTTAACAGATAAATGAAAAGCTGAGCGCATTTTCCCCTGAAACTGTTCCCTCTGGTTGAGAACCAGTGTGCTGGATCAATCACCAGTTCCCACTAACAGATATTCGAATTCATCAAGCAAATCTAACTGAAGATTCAATTAATATCAAAAACTTAATAAGCTGTTAGGCACCATAAATTTAAAAGTAAAAGGCAGGGATACTTCCAACTAAATTAATAAGTTCTCAGGTTCAATTTTAGTGCAGCCGCGAAGGAATTAATCGTGATATAACAAATGAATCAGACAGATTAAATGCGAGATCTAACATACGTTAGATCTAAAAACGCGTTTATGAAATATCTTGATTGCTATCTATTATATTGAGTCTATCCTTACAGAAAATTGTTTTATCAATTATTTTCAAATCATTCGAAATTCGTAACATACACATTATATTTCAGTTATTAACATGAAAAAGCATTCCAGTCTTAATCATATATATTTCCGCAGCCGAAAAGTCTTTCTCCCCTTACAGTATCCAAAATTTTAGAATGAGGCAAGATTTTTCAATCGTTGAAGAAATAGAAAAACTACGTCTAAATGAAAATTAGTAACAATCAGTGATGAATATAAAATATAAATATACAAAATATTGAAGTAATTGTAGGAAATGAAGCAAACGTAATTGATAATTAATAAAATTAAGACCACTTGAGACGTTAATTTTAAGATCGGTGTTTCCAATTAATAAGCTCAGACTGACATGGATCTTTCCCATCTATTACATGAAAAACCATTCTGTAGTTTAAAAAGCATATTTCTGCTACATATAACTCATGTTTCTGCTTTGTCTTCTCAACAATTAGATTATGCAATGATGACTTTTCCATCTAATACTTATCATCCAATAAATTTTTTTTCACAATATTTTTATTGCAGTGCTTTCTTGAATAAACTACAGATTTCACAAATGGACGGTTTCAGTGAGATTTCTCATTTTTGCTTCCTTGTACGAAGTAAAGGAAGTATTGTATTGTAATCACGAAAAGTTCCAGGTACCATATTTCAACGAAAATATCCATTTTGACCGCTATCGAATACAATTTAACGATGTTCTTACTTGATATCTGTACGTAAGCACAGAATAAAGGGCTCTTTTCCCCCCAAACGAATTATAAAACTGATTTAAAATAGATTCACAAGAGTTTTTTTTCGTGGCGTCTGTACGTACGTATGTATGTAACGAATGTATGTATCTCGCATAACTCAAAAACGAGTAGACTCAGAACGTTAAAATTTTGTATACGGGACTGTTATAACATATAGTTGTGCACTCCCTTTTTGGTTGCAATCGGTGGCACCAAAAGTATATAAATATATATATATGTATACTAACTCTGTTACTCGGCTCGGTGAGCTCAGTTTTTTTTATTGTTATATGTTGCTAAATTATTGCCTTAAAAGTGATTGAATTATGTTGTTCTTACTTCCAGTTAAGGTTTTTATGCCTTTAGTTAACCTGCATGTAATAATTATAGAATTATGAACAATTTAAAATTTGTTTAAGTGCGGCTAAGGCTAATTTTTGTTTATCATAGTAGCCATATTTGTTTACATTTGAAACTTAGCAGAATAGTGGAATTGTGGCCAATCTAGAGAAACTAAGCTTCACAACAACAAATATAACGTCTTCTTTTATTATTGCGAATGAAATCATGCTTAATTCATTCTGGAATTAACATTTAAGTTATTAAATTATTCCATATATTGACTCAGCGTCCATAACAAATTATGTGATTGTAATAAGATAATGTGTTAATAATGTGTTAAATTATGTGATTGTAATGAAATAATGTGTTTCTACGCATTCAGTGTCTTTATGCCGAGTGAGACCAAAAGCCAAATTTCAGTTTCGTGCACCGAAGAATCTGGCTTTTTGCAACGCTGGGCGAATTATTTGTTTTTGCGTAGAAACTCTATTTTTAATTGTAAAAGTTTTTCTTTAAATTGTTTTAACTGCATTTATGTTTTATATTTTTCTGTATTTTTCAATTTTTAATAAAAATATTTTGAGGCTTTATGTATTTTAGCCATGTTGCGAAGTGAGAACTGAATTAATTGAATGAGAATTGTATCTCTAATGAAATTCGAGGAAATAAGTTTAAATAAAATGCAGGAAAAAAAGGGCTTATAATTTAATATTCCGTACAAGGAAGTCGTGTGATGTACACATCAGATTTTTTAGTTAGTTATAACTTTGTCGCTCTTGTTATGACACTGTTATTGTTGCTGTTGTTATGATACGTAAGACTAAAGTGCGCACAAACAGTGAGTAAAATATAGCAGGTTTCTGCACATGGATTCATTGTGGCTACATTAACTCGTCAGGTCTCTGCGACATTATCAGTGGGCATCGTAGATAGTGAAGTGGATATTTATTGTGACGAACAGCCTGCTTACCAAATAGATTGCTGCTACATAAAGAGAAGAGAGAAACTACAGAATATTGTAAATTAAAGTATTAACCATTTAGTATCCCCGTAATGAAACACGACTGGAATTAACAATATCGGCTAAGACATGTACCGAGGCAACATGAGGCATGTATCAAGAAAGGCGGTTAAGCAAGCAAAAAGGTCTGTTCAAGAGAAGGACTGACACTTTCAGAATTTTATGTGATGATGAATAATTCTATTATAAATCTCTAATTTAAACTGTTTCGTTAGTGTTCAGTCACTAGACCGAATAAAATAACGTGACAAAAAAGGTGGGACGTCCTGCTGAACAGCCATAATTTTTTTGTGACTCATAGTTCCAATAGATACTGAATGTTGAATGTTTATGTTTGATATAAATATATTAATACTGTCACTAACCTTTAAAACTACAATGAGACAAAAAAGCATGGACATTATAACATATACTAAGTATACAGTTAGTTTCACAATTTCGCTTTCTGCTTTCACAATATTCTTGAACTTTTATGAAAATTTCTTGTGTCTGAAAACTGTCAGAAACATCACAATTCTTACTGATTAGCTAAAACCCTTAGTCTAGCTCAGGGGTCCTCAACCGGTGGTACGCAAGAGAAAAATAGGTGGTACGCAAAGAAGCATGATATTTTTAACTATTTAAATTAAAAAATTAAAACCCCAACATCCTGATTGAGTTTTTTCTCTAACACTCGTAAATTTATGCGATCTCAACTTTGTTCAAGAGTGGTGGTGGTAGTAGTACTTTGTAGTGGTGGTACTAAAGGTTTTCAATTTTTGATTAGATGGTACGCGTTAGTCAAAAGTTTAAGAACCACTAGTCTAGCTCATTTACTAAAAAAAATATTGATAAACAAGTCATCTTGAGAAGTCATTACTCGTGATTAACGAATACTCCTAAATTCACGGAAACGTATTAACTAGCATAGAATACATACCTTTTTCTTTCACTCCTGCTTGCATTATCTGTAGTGTTATGCTGCAAAGATTCACTGAGTTTTGCGACATTTTGAAGTGGAAGGACTCGTTGTATTTAGGGTCGCAGCTGTTCTTGCAAACCATAGTTTTCTTTGTTTTCACCACTTTGTTCTCACGCATGAATATGATCCTCACAAACGAATCTGAAGGGAAGATGAACATATTGATTTATAGATTTAGGTAATCTATTACGTAAATAAACAATTCTAAATTTAAAGATGACCTTTTTTTATTGTAGATTTTAAGAAGAATTTTTTCCATGTGACTATAACATCAGCTTATTCTCAGGTATGCTAAATTTGTCAGGTTCAATTGTATTTCGTCACTTCTATGAATCATGTCTTAATTAATTAACCATAAACATTAAATCATATACATAACATATATAATGTTATACATACAGACTGGTATTTGAGTAATTACGCTCGTGAAATATAACAAATGAGCTAAAAAGCATCTATTCCCTGCAACCATTTCTTGATCTATCTTTTCGATAATTTGACTTGAGCAGCACCATACAAGGCATCCAAACCTCCATAACTTGCGACTAGTCCGGGATCTTGACTTTTTTTCTTCATTAAAAAAACAGGAAATATGGTTATTCGATACGGTCATTCGTATTGGCGTGCTCACGGCAATGTGTTATTTATAGTTTTCTCGAAATGTAATTCAGAATCACGTAAATACTTTCATTCCCCCGTTAAAATATTTATTAGACATAATAAACCACATATTATCACATAAAAATAACACATCTAACAACCCTCGGTGACATCATCCTATCAACTAAATTAAGAAGCATAACACACTCCTCTTTATCGCTTAGCTGCGCCTCCACAAGCAGGCTCATCCAACAATTCGCCTGCAAGCTTGCACCGCGCACCGCCTGCGAGTGTCAGATTCTGGCGCGGAAACCTCACTTTCATACTACTATACAAAAAAATAACAAAGGTGAAAAAATATTTAATTTTCGTAAATTATATGATAACTTCAGAACTGAATTATTATCATATTGATCAAACAAACGAAACCTACGTCAAGCTAAAATCAAGCAAACGAAATTTACATTTATGAGGTATGTGACCACCTCGAACCTTAACACAAACTTTACAGGAATTGTCCATGCTTTTAATGAGGTGATAAACCATATACTAGCAGTGGCCATTCTTCCATTAGAGAAGTTTCCAAGTGTTTGAGACTAGCTGGAAAATAAAAACGCTCGAGACAGCACGCCCGATGACATCCCAAAGATTTTCAATGGTATTAAGACTGGAATAGAGCAGCCACTCAATAGGAGAAATGCCCTCATTTCTCATCATCATTAACGATAATGCCTGTATGGAGAGGGTATTATCAGGACCAATTGCTTTAGCGTAGAATCTCACAATCGGGCGTAGAATTTTATCCCGATAACGCCCAGCCGTCACAGGACTGGCATTCCAGCCGACACCATGATGATGCCACTTCTAAAGGCATGATATTCGATGATGTTTAGCGCCTGATTCCTTTTATCATTTGATTTTAGGGCAAATCTGGTCCTGTCCGTGAACAGAACGTTGCACCAATTTGAAATAGTTAATTGAGATATTGACAACATTACTTTAATCTTACCTCTCTAGATCGAGCGGTTAGTGGAACACGGGCATACTGTCCCTTCATGTGAATCCTCCGAGCGTAGTCCTGGCAGATATTGTCTTGCAAGTTAACTATAAAACCATGGACGTAACAGTTGTCGAGATCTCTTTTCGAATACGCTTGACTGCTGTAGCAATGTACCGATCTTCATGTAAGGTGGCAACCCTTGATCTACTTGACACAGGTTTTCGGACCACCCTTTGACTTCTTTGAATTTGTTTCTTTATTCGAAATATTACCGTATGATCAACGCCGAAAAAACAGCGACATCTTTGATTGATTGTTTTGCTTCAGTTTATCCGACAGCACACTATACTGTTCACCATCTCCTATTCATCTTCTGTTAGCTATAGAAACACGAATAATATCAAAATTTATCCTAAGAAAATTATAAATACTTCGTATCAGGCATATAAAGGAACATCCTAAAATTCTTCAGAAACATCTTCAACGAAACATGTTTACATGTTCGAATAGTCAATGGTGACTGGATGTAACATATGATATTTTCTTATTTCATGCTATTTTCATATTTCCGTCTCTATCCGCAGCGGTTTTCAGTCACTCAAATTCACTACGCTACACAGAGCTCTCCCTGTGTCGTCTAGAAAGATGCAAGAAGGGCTTATAACGGAACATCAGAAAAAGATACCACGTCACAAATGAATGAAAGACAGGCTAATCGTTGGTCCGTGTGCAAATGGCGAGTTAACCTTCGGACTGTGTGCAAACGCGAATGCTATCAGTTTCATTTTTTATTCAGAAATAGCATTCAGAAATACCCAGAGTGGTTAATGTTCATCAAATTATAAAAGAAATACTTCTGTTTATCTAGAGGCCAAACTCCATATAAATACAGCTTCTATGTAACACAGAGTATTTTCTTATTTTAAATTATATTAAAAAAATCTAGGTGGTTATTTGGGTGGCTGAAAAAGGTGAATGGTATTTACATGTATTTTAATGGCAGAAATTGTTTTCTGGATAAGAATAGATCGGCTTGCGAGTTCGGTCACGGAACGAATTAAACTCATATGCTGAGGTACCACTATACTTCCGACTGCAAAAATGTTTTAAACGAAGAAAATATTCCTGTGGGGCATTTTTAAATTTAAAACACCAGTTTTGTAAAAGTTATGAAATCTATTATTTTATACACCCTGCAATATATTTATGTTCTATAAAAGCTTACATTCATTCTAAAACAGAAAGCACAAAATGCTTTGATTCCCATAACAGGGGGCCCACCAGCGGCTGAGCGGTAAAGTCGCTGAACCCTGGTAGTTCGGTCTGAGGTTCGAATCCCGCGAACGGGCCGGCTGCATGGGCGTCTTTGTGGTTTGCCCTATGTGTAACGTGTATACGAGCCAGTTTCCTTTAGAAAGTCCTCTACGAAGGCATCCCTCCCCTTAGGCAGATAGCCCTCGAGGCTTTGCCATAATCACACACACACCACACCCATAACAGGGGAAAAAACTGATTGAGATATTTATTTTTAATGCTTGAGATCATGTTCAGGGATTGTATACAAATTGAAGATTGAAATATTTATGTACGGATATAAAAATGAAATATCAGTTTCAAACAAAGTTTCTGATAGTAATATATTAAATAACTAATATTTGTATACATACAGTTTTGAAAAGTATTTATCAATATTACTTTTTTTTTTCAATAAAGAAATCTTATTTTAGCATGTCATAGAATTCTAGCTCTAAGAAACAGAGGCAGGTTTTGGTATCGTTACATAGCTATCCCATAACGTAATTTACATAAATTAAAAATTAAAAAAATTGTTCTAGTTTAATGAAATTTTCCATGCGCTTATTAAGTTATGATTAAAAGTAATAAAAGTACACTATGAATTTTAAATTATATATTATCATTTATTGAATTATTCAATCATTTATAGAACTTAAATACTTACAAATTACTTGGATAAAATTTCATTCTACGTTACCATATGTCACAAAATTATAAAGTAAAGAATTTTACACACTGTACAATCACAAAAGGCTCTCCTTAAACGATATGAAAAGAAAAATCCGGCTCGAATTATTAGAATTTAATTTTTAACTCACCGCTCAACGTAAATTGAAAAAGATAGCTTACTTCCCATATTTTGAGCTTAAATATCTTAGCCAACTTTTTCTATCGTATGAGAATGAAACGTTTTGTGCTTTATTTCTTATAATGAGTATATTCATCTACTGAATATAGCTCTAGAAATACGGGAAGCCCTACAAAAACCTAAATTTTGTAATTTTTATTAAATCGATTTTTTTTAAATTTAAAATTGCAAAACATGAATATGTGCATCCTCTATAACAGTGTTTCCCAAAGTGTGGTACGCGTACCCCCAAGGGTAAGGGAATGATTTGTTGGGGGTGCGCGTTGCAGCGGAGTTTGGTGGGGATATGTACTGCATCGCGTTTAGCTGCGCCTAATTCTACGTTGGTCCGGTGTAACACTGCGAGAATTACCACACTTCGTTACAAAGACAAACTTACTTCATTAATAGTAGTTAGTGGCTTCTCCAGGCGCCTGTGTATTTTTAGCTTTTGCGTGTTTTTTTTATAGTAAATGTTTGTTATGCGCTTTAGTAAATTCCACTGATTTTGATTATTTTTATAAAATATAATTTTTATCTCTTACTTAGGTTATGGATCGCTGTTTGAAGTCTGGAACTACTACACCGAAAGAAAGTAATGATTATAGTAGCAATCAACTAACAGAAAATATTGAAATTAACGACGAATCAACTTAAATTCTGAAAGAACCTGTTAAGATAAAAGTAGGGAAAACTCGTAAGTACGACAAAGAATATCTTAAGAATATCTTAACTTTGTATTCTCATCGACTGGAGATGAAAATGAGCCTATTCCACTTTGCGCCATTTGTTTTGGAAATCTAATAAACGAAAGTATGAAACCATCCAACTTAAAGCGCCATTTTAAGACAAATCATAATCAGTAAAGAGATAAACCCAAAGAGTTTTTGAAAATAAACTTAAGGATTTAAATCAGTCTCGAAAAGTAATGCGTGGTTTGACAGGAGGTGACAATAAGAAACTTCGTATCGCGTGTCGCTTTAACTGCGAAATGCAGTGCAGCGGAAACCATTGGCGAAATTTTAATCAAGCCTGCAGCCAAGATAATGGCAGAAGTACTGATAGGAGATAGAGCGAAACAAACTTTTGACCGCGTTTCTCTCTCAAATAATACAATTCATCGACGAATCTTTGATATGTCTAAATAATGTGAAGCAGATGTTATTATCTGATATTTCTCAAAATCGTTATTATGCATTGCAAGTCGATGAGTCCATTGATATTGCGAATTATGCAAATCTTATGGCGTTTGTTAGATACAAAAAAATCAAGAAATTTATGAAGACTTTTTATTTTGCCAGCCTTTTTTATGTCACACAACAGGAGATGATATCTTTAATGTTATGAATAAATTAATGCAAGAAAACAAAATTGATTGGAATATGTGAGTTGGAATAAGCACAGATTGAGCAAAACGTATGGTCGGAATTAATGAAGGATTTGTTGCAAGAATTCACAATGTTGCCCAAAATGTAATGTCCACACATTGTTGCACACATAGAGAGGCTTTGGCAACACATCAGATGCCCGGTGATCTACAGAAAGTTCTGGATAAAAGCATGAAAGTCATTAACTACGTTAAAAACTGTACTTTGAATGCGAGACCTTTTTCGCAAATATGTGAATAAATGGGAAGTTGTCATACCCAGCTTCTTTTTAATACCAATGTTGGTACCAATGTTCGAGGAAAAATTCGAAATCGAATTTATGTCCTTCAATGTTTTCTTAATGATAGATGTGATTGAGAAAATTGTTTACAAGACTGAAAATGGCTTTGTAAGTTAGCATACTTAGCAGATATATTCTCTGTTTTAAATTGCCTCAACTTATCGTTACAAGGCAAAGAAATTTCACGCTTCAAGATAAAGGGAACGCTGCCATCGCAAAACTAATTTATGGCAAAAGAGAGTTGGTAATGGAAAAGTAGAGTCACTTCTCTCTCTTCATGAGTTTATAACAAGTTCGACTACTAAAATTGATGCTGATACTCTGAAATGCATAGCACAGCATTTGGAGAGTTTGCAAGTGGGCTTGAAAATCTATTTCCCGGATTTAAACAAAAATATTGAATGGATAAGATATCCGTTTAACATTAACACAACATCCATTCTAGAAGATTGTCGTATGCGGAAGAAGAGCTATTGTTGGAATTGGCTTCAGACGGATTCTTGAAAAATAAACATAAAGGGTGTACTTTAACATCATTCTGGTTACAAATGCAATATGTGTATCCGGTCTTAACAGAAAAAGTTCTGAAATACATTTTGCCTTTTCCAACTTCATAGTTATGTGAAGTTACTTTTTGAGCTTTTGAGCATTATAGACGTTAAGTCGAAAAAAAGGAACAGACTATTGGACGTGCAACCGCATCTCAGATTAAAATTAACAACCAGGGAAACAAATTATGACGATCTGTCATCTCAGCACAAACAATTTCATCCTTCTCATTAATACAAATTTACAATATAACTTTTATAATATAACTTTTATTTATATTTTATTATGAATAATTTTATTTATCTTTTCTTATTATTTTGTGTCACAAAAAAGGAAAAAATAAATTAATTTTGATTGTTATCAAAATACACCCATTTTCTTGACGAAGGGTACTTAGCGTTACGAAAATTATAGAAGGGGTACACATATGTAAAACGTTTGGGAAACACTGCTCTAAAACATTTGCGAAACTAAAGGTCGCCTAAGCCTTTTTAGGGGTACATTGTATAAATGCAATGCACGAAGTTTTAGGGTAGATTTTGAGCTGCTGAATCTCAGAACTTCTATTCGGACAATGTTAGATAAATTAAAGTCTCCTTGTTATTCACTTCATTCCTAGCCCAAATTTAAAAAAAGAACCAAAAAATTCCTTTTCCGTTTATGAAGACAGCTATGACATAGAAACAATTAAAGGTGATACAAATCAAACATAGGGCAAAATTTACCTCCGGAAAATAAAGTAAAAAAATGTACCTATATATAATTTTAAAGGACAATAACAAAAAACAGTTTAAAAGAGGTCAAGGTATTAAAACATGTATTAAAGCGGTACTGCGATGCATTAAAAACTCAGATACTTGCCAAGGGTTTTACATCTCTCTGGTAAACGAAGTCCTCTAGCTTCACAGACAGTCACAATTAGGCGCTCGAGATTTTGATTATAGCACAAACTGATCATCATCTCGCCGATGTCACTTGGTACCTAAAGGTTGGAAAAAACATATGATAAAATTTCTTAATAACTAAATTATTAACTATTGTTATTAATTCAACTTGATTGAAAAAGAGTGTAAGAAAATACCGAATAGAAAGCCACTGCAATTTTAGTACCTTTTTTTACTTTTTAAGACTAAATAATAAATGTTGTGCGAATGTTCCAGATGAAACAAAAGCAGAGAAGTTACCTCGTCTGCAAATCGGAACTTATTACGGAGATTCGTGTAAATGGTTAGACGTTTGGAACCAGTTCGACAATACAATTCACAATTATAGTGGACTGAGAAAAACTGAAAAATTTGCGTATCTAAAATCCTTACTTAGCGGTAATGCTTTAGCTGCCATTTCCGGTTTCGCTTTAAGTGACCAGAATTACGATTCTGCTATGAGATACTGAAAGAACCTTTCGGAAAACAAGATATTGTCCGAGCCGGACTTAGCCTAATTGGGAGCTGGGGCAAAAATTTCTTTGGCGTCCTCTCTCTGCTTCACTGTTTCAGTAATGAAGAAACGAACTTTATGGAGGTACTTAAATTTGTCTCCTCATTATAGATATATAACAAGAAAACTGACTAGAACCTAAAATAGCTATAAAGTTCCCTCCCCCTCTAATGGTTAGAAAAAATATCGTTCTGTTTATTTTATTGATTTTCCAACAGTTTTATGTCTATCATTAAAAGGATATAGCACATCTAACGAGCCAAAATTTGACTGATATTTTGTTTAAAATAAGTTCATTAAAGAAGCAAACTTAAAACAAACTTTCTATTCGGTTTGGAGGTATTCCTCTGATGTTGGGACCCAGGGCAACTGCACCACATGCCCCTGCCTTAGTCAGGTGCTGGATATTGTCATCACATCGCTTATGAATAAATTTTTATCTCTTGAACCAATGGGGAACATTGGAAATGTTAAGTTGTACGATGAATGCAAAGTCAACATTCGAAATTTAGAATTGTTAAACGTTACTTCTGGAAATTATAAAAACATTCTCTGTCCTATCATTTTTCAGAAATTTCCAGAGGAATTAAATTTGGAACTTAATTGAAGTCGAAAAATGGAAGCAGAATTTGATATAAAAGAATTTATAGAATTCTTCAAAAAGGAAGTTAACTGTCGAGAAGCTGCAAGTTTAATGAACTCTGCGAAAACGAATCAGAAACCATGCATTTGTTAACATGAACAACGCACGAAAGCTTATCCGAATTATAAACGGAAAGTTCTGACTGATTCAGCTTTGTCAATGATTAGATACAAATGTATATTTTGTGATAAAAAAGACATACGATATACAAATGTACTGAAGTGAGTTCCGAAGAGAAACGCAACATTTTGAAACGTACAGGAAGATGTTTTCTGTGTTTTGGATGTAAACATTTAGCGATCAATTGTAAGACAGTTTTCCTCCAAAAATTGTCCTGGTAATCATCATAAAAGTGTTTGTGTAAATCCTGCATCAACTGTTTCCAGTGTAAAAAATAAGGAAACCGAAACATCGGCGAAAATTTTTCAAAATTCTTCTGCCCAAACTGGATCTAATATTATGCTTCAAACGGTGTATGGTGTAGCTTTGAGAGTATAAATAACAATTGTATTGTGAGGTGTCTTCTTGACGGCAGTAGCCAAATCTTTGCAACTCGAGAAGATTTATCAAGAAAATTAAAGTGACCAGTAACAGGAGAAACTGTTTTAAATCTGCTTAGTTTCAGTGAGAAGAACGGGAAACACTATGATATTTCCGTTTTAATTGGCGTGGACATTGTGTGAAAAATAGTAAGCGAAGAAATAAAGAGAATAAATAGAAACGCCGTACCAATGAGAACCTTGTTTGGGTAGTGTATAGAAGGCAGATTTTCTTCATCAGACTTTCAGACAGGCTTGTTAGAAATTATTAAAAGAAATAATTGAATACAAACTAATGAATTGTAACAAGGTTATGGTTAATTTCCTTGAATACACTGATATCAAATGTCAGCTAGATATTAATGACTCAGAAAAGAAAAACATTCCTCGTGTAATATTAAAAGCAAACACATTATGTATGTTACATGAACAATACTCTGAACGTGAATGGACTAGAGTTAACACTGATGGCTCTAAAATACAAGACAACACTGGGGCTGGTGTGTAAACAGTAAATTCGTTTCCCAATGTACTCCTGTGGGACACTTCCTTTCGAATTTTGATGCAGAGATCCTTGCAATCTCACTAGCTCTGGAAAATCTCAAGATAAAGATCGATTGTTTCTCTAAAGCGGTTATTCTAGTTGACTGCAAAGCAGCCATTCAGGCTGTTGTTATAAATCATGCCATAGATTAAGCATATTTTTGAGAAATTAATGAATACTGTTAAATCCAAGCAGGCAGAAAAATCAACAGGCAAATCCTGGGCTAACATTCAAGACACTTAAAAAACGTTTTCTCAAAACTCCATAAAGAGGCTGTGGTAAACTTAAGACAGCAAACAGGCAACGTTTGCATGGCACATCATCTTCATAAAATTGGCATGCTTCCATCTAGCATACGTCAAATTTGTAAATTAGGCATTATGAATGCAGAGCATCTTCTTATATGCCCAGAACTAGATGAAGAGTCTCAGAAATAGTGATATAAGCAAACTATACTGGAATGCCAGAACTTTCATAAACTTTCATAAACTTCCTGTAAAGACTACATCTCTTAAGTTTCTTTCCTTGCTTTTTACTTTTATTCCCATGCTCATTTTTTTTCCGATTCTTACTCTAAATGCTTTATTTTTATTTTATATCATTGTTCTTGTGTGTTACTTGAGCTGTTTTATATGTATTGATTGATTATTCCAATCAAGCCATACGTACTAACAACAACATATTTTTAATTCTGCAGACGATAATTAAATCTTATTCCAATTTGATGTCAGTCACGTTTGTATTTTAAAATTAATATTTAAATTCATGGAGAAAATCAGAATCGTTTCAAAAATGTGTAAACACCCTCTGTATATTAACAACACTACGCTCTTTATTATTACATAATTCAATGTTCATAATACTTTTCTGCACGTAATTTATCAATTTAACCTTATTCATGTATGCTACATAAATACCTCATGTAAAGTACTCACAGTTATTGTAGATTTAATGCATCTGCGTCTAGGCCTAGAACGATGTTTTGGCTACGTGGACATTACTGTATTTTAATTATTTCCTTTGTAAAATATACAATTAACCCTTATTTTTCGGAAATATAGGAAAGTAAGTTATAATTTTAGTATTAATCGAAATCTTTTAATATTAATCGAAACAATGCATACATGTACTCACACAAACCATGGATACAAATAAAATTAACAAATGACAAAATTATTAAAAATATTTAGTCAAAAGTTGGAATAATTTTTTGTTTGTGTCCAGCGTACAAAATTTAGAAACTTAATTTGAATTTATTCCAAGCTATAAAAATTTAAGCAGCGCTACGAAATGTAAATAAACTACAAATTCATATCAATACAACTTAAAAACATCTAAATAAAAGTATTTACTAAATATAAATTTAGCTTCAAGACATCTTCTTTTTCAGGTTTCAAAAACCTCTATTTTTGTTTTCAATAGAAAACTCAGTCGCAACGTAAGACTGAAAAAAAACTTGAACTTTCTGCTTTTAAGTGAAATTTCAAATTCACCTTTCTTATGCATTCGAAAATAAATTAAACACTTAGTAGAAGTTGCTATCTAAAATCTCAAAAGTTTGGTAGACGGTTATATCATTTCGAAAAGACGGAAATTCCTCTGGGCGTAATACGCGCGGGGCACAAGGCCATAAAAGTGGTGCCTGGAATGGCTTATCGATTCCTACCCAGACACCTTTCCTTTGATTTTCCTATTTTGAGCAATGTTCAAACGTTTATATTCAACGATTAAACCGAAAGCAAAACTGCATTAGCAGCAATATGCTGAATTATGAAAACAATCGTGGAACTCTGAGATTAAACTTAGATACTCAGTATAAAAATACGAGTAATATATTTATGGTTTTCTTCAGTTAAAAAGTATATAAAATCTTAAATACAATATAACCGGTAATAATGTCAATTACCATAAAAAATTCACACAGTATTTTCGCCTCCTGCCTGAAAGACGAAGAAGCGAGATCAGTTGAAAAGAAATTTCAGTGAAATAGCAATCTACACTGCTGAATAAAATTAAAGAAGCAATAATTTAGCGAGAACAAACAGTTACTGCTGAATATACGGCAATACAAAGGAATATTTTTGAAAGGGATAAATAAATAAAGATTAGGACAAGTGAAAAATGGTGTTTTAATGTAAAGCATTATTTTACTAGAATTTCACTGCGTCAAAACCCTTCCTTTTTAGAAAAGAAAAGATAAACTTTACAACGGTTTAATAAGGCATATAGTCATTTCAAACGTGAAAAACGTATTTGCACTTGCGAAAGACGGATCAGTTTGACACATGTTTCGAAAGGCTGTTATTCACAAATAACTAAAATCGTGATAAAATAGCTCGCAAGTGATCATCACCAGGACGTTGTAAGGTTCTTATTTTTAAAATAACCTGTTATTATGATTTAGATCATTATTTTAATAGCTTTTTCCATATTTCTCACTAGAATGCATACTAGTTTGTTGTCTATTTAAACTGAGGTTTCTTGGATTGTGAAAGAAGAGGAGTTCTTAGCATTAGCGTAGCGTGCTTAGAATTTCCTAAAAAAAATTCAATGTCAGTTGTTGACGCCCCTTCAGAACATTGTGTTGAATAGTATTTCGATGAGAAACATCCTCTATAAGTGTTCCATTTGGCTCCCTATGTAGGTATTCAAATAATTTGAAGGATGCATTACATTTGATTATTCCGTAAACACGCAGCCATTATGTCATACAAGTAAGATATATTATTTATGTAGGCGTATCACGCGAGGGGCATTCTATTCTCGCTTATATTACTGAATTTCAGCTCAGAGACCAAAATTTGGTTTGCTAATAATAT